CTTATTTGTCTAGTGCTGCTATAACAGAAATACCAAAAATGGGTGGCTTTAACAAACTGAAATTTATTATCTCACAGTTAGGAGGATAGAAGTACAAATTCTGAGTGCTGGCTCTAGAGGAGGACTTTCTTTCTCAGTTGGTGCTCAAGGAAGGTCCTTTGTCACTTTGACCTTCTGCTCTTGGGACAATCTTCATGTGGCTTGGCATGTGTATCTTTCTCTGTCTCCTTGCTATCATACATTTAATCCCTATTATATGTCAGAAAAGATTGAGTCAAGGTGCACCATACATTAATTCTGGCTCATGAACATAACTTATTTCAAGATGTGATTATAACCACACAGATAGAGATTAAAATTTACCATACATGTTTTGGAGTTATACATTCAATTCATAACATTTCAACTTCCAGCCTCAAAAAATTCACATCCTCACTACATGAAAAAACAAAACAAACAAAAACACATTAACCCCATCACATCATTCCCAAAGTCTCCAAGCCCAAAATCCAACCTTCTGAATCATCTAAATCAAATATAGGCTAGACTGTATCTGTATTCCATCCTAAGTCAAAATTCTTTTTTATCTGTGAACCTGTGAAATCCAGAATACAAGTTATCTCTTTCCAAAATACAATGGTGGAACAGATACATTAGCTCTCAAGGTTTGAAAATAATAATTCTCTTTTCTCTGAGACCATCTGAATCTTTACCCTGACCTCCAGGGTCTGGGAATTGGCCACACCCTCTGGATTCTTGGTGGAGTCTCTTGGGCTTCAGCACTACCATCCGGGCCCTTTGTGATGGCAACTCTGTTCCTTTGGCTTTAGGTGGTTCTACTCTCCTAGTCCATTTCAGTGGCAATCCTGCCCCCTTGACCTCAATAGGCCCTGTTTTCCTGCCCCTTAGGCACAGCAGCCCTACCTCTTCAGCTTTGGGTGACAGCCTCCAACCCCTGGCAAACCTCAACAGTAACCTCACACTCCAGAGCCAAGTTGGTGAGGATCTGACCTTTGAAACCTCAGAAACTGTGGCCCCATCCTTTGAGATCCAGGCAGCCATGGTCCCACCCTTTGAAACTGAGAAGGCCCTACTTCCTGTGCTCCTTCCAATAGTTCTGTTAATGGTCCATTTCTTTTTAGGAGGACAACAGGTGTAGTTCCTTTGGCCTATTTCCTGCCTGTAGAATTTTTTTCTCTGTCCCCTTCAGTCCACGCTGATAGTTTCTCTGTTGTGGTAATTGGTTATATGCATCACTCACAGGCTTAATCTCTTTAACAAAAGACTGTGGAGCTATGTCTCTGGTGAACATTCTAGGACATGTGTCTTTAGTTTGTACAATGGAATATTCCAAATCTTTAAATTCTATTTTCATTTTTAAGTCCATATCTTTCCTCTTGCATCCTATAGGCTGGCAAGAAAAATAATGCAGCCTTTTAAGATCTTGCTTAGAAATCTCTTCAGCCAGATAACCAAGTTCTACTTCTGCCAAACTTTGAACATAACTCAAGTTCTCTGTCACCGCATAAAGAGCACCACCTTACCTCCATGTCTAATAACATGTCCAGCACTTTTTTTTAAAGCCTCACCAGCATTTAATGTCTAAATTTCTAGCAACATTCAGTTACTGGCACCATATATAGTCTCTAAAATGACAGGACAAAACCAAAAACCAAATGCACTGCCATCAAGTCAGTCCTGACTCATAGCTACCCCTCCTTGGGTTTCCAAGGCAGTATCTCTATGGAAATAGATTGCCCACTCTTTCCTCTGAGGGACCACCAGCCTTCTGGTTAGAAGTCAAACCAAACCAAAGAACCAAACACACTGCTGTCAAGTTGGACCCAACTCATAGTGACCCCTCCTTGGGTTTCTGAGGCAGTATCACTACGCAAGTAGATTGCCTAACCTTCCTTCTAAGGAGTGGTTGGTGAGTTTGAACCACCAGCCTACTGGTTAGCAGTCAAATGCCTTAGGCACCATGCTACCAGAGCCACCAGAGTGCCTAAAATGATAGGGGACTCTCTATAGCTCTCCTTACTCCTTTCCAAGCCCTCATCAGAATTGCCTTTGATGCCCTGATGCTACAAACAATCTCTTCAAGGCTTTCACTATTAGGCACCTTACAACTCTCCTACTTCTACCCTTTACCCAATTCCAAAACCACTTCCACATTTCAGGTATCTGTTAAAGCAGCACCCTACTCTTCCACTACCAAATTCTGCCTTAGTCATCTAGTGCTGCCATAACAGCTATACAAGTGTATGGTGTGGTTGTTGTGTGTCAACTTGGCTAGGCCTAGTTTTGAATGGCTGGACAGCTGGATGTAGTTATTACCCATGATGAGACTGGTAATCAACTCCATGGTGGAATCTACTGTGGCAGCTGAGTAGCTGCTTTAGGGATGTGGTTTGCTTCCAGTACATAAGTAGCAGCCTTGAGAAAGGTCTCTGAGCTTTTTGGCATGCTTGAACCCTACATGTAGCTGAGCCTTCATTCAGCAGCCTGCCCTGATGTCTGCCAATCTTGGGACTGTTCCTGGATGTGAACTAGTGGCCTGTGGTGCTTGATAATTTCAGACTGTGCCATTTTACTTGTCTACCTTGGGTTTGTTAGCCTCAGCAGCCAGGAACTTCATGAGTTATGAGAAGCATCCAGCTTCAGTGTGCTGGGTGCAAGAGGCAGAGCAGAAGCCCACGGTCAAGAGTCTTTCACCCAGAGCTGGCACTTTGAACTCAGACTTCTAGCCTCCTGAACTGTAAGAAAATAAATCTGTTTGTTCAAGCCACATTTGTGGTATTTCCTGTTAGAGCAGCACTAGTGGACCCAAAAAGATGGACTTAATATCAGAAATGTTTTTGTCACACTTAGGAGGTTAGAAGTCCAAATTCAGGGTGCAGTTTTAGGGAAAAGTTTTCTCCATTAGCTTGGGAAGAAGGACAATGTCTCTTTGAACTTCTACTTTTGGGAGATCTTCATTTGGCTTAGCATGTGTCTTCCTCCATCTTTTTGCTAGCTTGTTTCACCTCTTTCATAGATCAAGAGAAACTGACTCAAGATACACCCTACACTAATCCTGTGTGATGAACAAAACAAAGATGATCTATTCTCAAAAGGAATTATAACCCAGGCATAAGGTTTTTATTTTAACATGTATTTACGGGAGATATAATCCAATCCATAAAATCAGCTAAAAATTTTTTTGATGATTTAAGAACTATTGATACTTTGTTATTTTGGGGTAGTTATTTTTTCCTAGGAAGTTTCTCATCTTAAGGAAAAAAAAAAAAAG